ACTTGGAATATTTTGTGGTCAAACATTATTTTACTAATATGGAGGGAATACAGTGCTTAACTAGAATATTAATAGATCTGTATAGGCCATGTAAAACTGCAATTGAATGATGGATGAAATGGTTTGGTTGGTTTTTTTTTTTCATTAACGTGTTAACTTTTTTCCTTCTATATTCTGTTCTGTAAAAGTGCTGTAAAAAAAAGGTGCCGAATATTGCTCTTAAATGTTTTATTTAGATCACATCCTCAAGTAATTCTGATATATAGACTGGTATACCATGACAGGTATATAAAAATGCCAGGATGAGTTTCTCTGTGAATTGCCTTGAGTCAAGGAAGATGGCTTTGGCCTGAACTTCTAATGAAAAACCACTGTGAAGCAACATCATACCTCATAAGAATGAGGTAGACTATCAACAGTCTGTTAATAAGCACAATATGCCTCTGGGGAATAGTAACAAGGAACACACAATGAATGATGTAGCTGTGACTTGGGACATAAAGTATGTTGCTCATGAGCTAGGCAGGCCTTGGTTTTGCATTATAACTGCTGAGGTTTTTGAGGGCAGGCTCCTTGATATGTGTAGGGTATTTGGTAATGAAAGCTGAGTGTTTTGCTCTGCTTCCGAGATAGCACATCATCAAGTATCTGGGCCAGCTAATTTCTTCTGGGGTATTTTTGGTTTGCTTTTGGTGAATTTTTACGTCTCCGAATGTAAAATGAATGGCATTGAGCAGTTTATGGATTTCAAACTTGTATTTATGTAGAAATATTATGGTTTATTATTTTACTAGGAATAAGCAAAATACCTTGCAAAGTTGTTTGTATCTTTTTGAATTTTAATGGGAGAATTGGATTTTTGTGTATCAGAGGACAAACGAAGAAAACTCGCGTAGGTTTATATAGGTTGGTATGTTGAAGTCTCCATGTTAATGAATTTTTAAATGGAAAAAAAATGCTTCAAGTATGTTTTCCTGCCTAGTTCAAAAACTCTTCAAATCTCAGTCCTACTAGTGGACTAATCTATGCTACAGAGTGGTCAGTTGGTACATTGTAAGTTTTTTAAACATCCTTCTGTCAGGAGGTGCCAGTGTAGACACAGTTCTGGCTTCTTTAAAATTTTATTTTAGCTAGTATAGTTTGCATCTGTCCTTTGAGAATTTGTCTAGATTACCATAAGCTTTTGGCTGCAGGTTAAACTGTAGCTGGTGAGGTTTTCTCATTGGTGTTTCAGATGACAGTGTACAAGCGGAAGCACTGAACTAAATCACAAACCAGATTGTGTAGGTAGGAAAAGAAACAGAAAACAAAGAAACCCAAACCGTGGTTCTTACCATGCAGGCATTTACAGGTGGTGTATATCAGGTAGGCTGAGATCATCAACCTCAGTAGTTTCTCATGGTTTGACTTTTCTGGGGGGTGGGGATGGTAAGCAGTAGGCTGTCCAGAAAATGTGATGTAGTGCCGTTGCTGCAGTTGCTTGTGAACTTCAGATAGGCTCAGGTTTATATATATAAATTTTTCTTGTTTGCAGTGAACATTTAATAATATTTGGGATCCGTATATAGTTGTTCTTTTAAGTTGATTGTATGCAGTTTTGTGAACCAACTTTGTACTTTAAACTGTATCTATGTTTTCAGTGGCTTGGTAGCTGGGTCATTTATCTCTTGGCACGGTTGGTGGTGGTAGGGCACGTTCCTTTGTTAGTGTGTTGGGGGGTCGGCTGGCTTTTTGTCCTGGTGGTGGTGTCACCCTGGGGCTCTCGGGCGTTGATTCTCACTTTGGGACCTGGCTGTGTGTTGGTGGAGCTATTGTATCCTATGTTCTATTTTCTATTATTTTAGTTACTTAGTAATAGTAGTATTGTTAGTATCAGTATCATTATAATGTTCATTCATATTATTAAATAGTTCTTATCTCAACTTTACGAGCTTTATTTGTCTTTTCCTCCAACTCCTGCGCTGGAGGAGGCGGGGGGAAGGTGAGTGAGCGTCTGTGTGGTACTTAATTGCTAGTTGAAGTTAAACCATGACATACAGTCATCAAAATAATAATTTCTCCTCCCTGGGAAGTAAATTGAAGTAAATTAAGCTATTTCTTGTGATTAAGTGGAGAACTTCTTAGCTGTTGCTATCTGATGGCTTAGAAAAAAAAAAAATAGAAACATTTTATTTTGGTACATTAAAACATGAATTATAAATTCTTTAAAAGTAAATAAACTATGTAAGATCAACCTTCTGAGTTATACTATTTTGGCTGTTAACCTTTCCTGTCTTTTGTTTCCTTGTGGTGTAAAGCAACTGCAGTCGGCATAAGTTAAAGCTTCTGAAGGTTACTTATCTAGTGAATTCTGCATACAGTTATCGGTAGGATTGCTGGCCTTTCTTAAAAGTGAATAGCTTTTTTGGTTTTGGAAGCAAGTTAGGCCATCTGGCTTTGTCCAAAGAATACATCCTGATACTTGATTTTACCATTTAGCCTTCAGATCTATGAGTAGTTTGTTTGCATTTATTTCTGGCTTTTTGAATTTTTTCTGTCATCTACAAAATTGCTTTAGAGAAATGCTTAACACTTTTCTTTTTGCTAATGGAGGATTTATCAGTTGTTATTTTAAAGTGCAAGTATTTTTTCACTTTGAGCAAGTCTGTTGTATTACTTAGTCTTGAATTAGCAGTTCAGGAGTGTCCTAAAACATTCAGAAATACTTTAAAAATAAAAGTTTTAGCATTTTGATATAAAGAAAACTAAGATAAATTTCTAACTGTGTTTTTACAAATATTTTCTTACAGATCTGTCATCTTACTGGTATTTTTAAAATACAACTTAGTTGTAAAGTCAATGCAGTAGACGTGTTTGTGGAGTAACAGTGTTTCGGCAATTTTCTGGAGGCTTGTATTATTTTTAAAAGGCAGGGATTTGAATGTTCTAGACACCTCTTGTGTGTCACTGCCATGTAAATGGCTTTCTGACGTGTCTTCATTCTTTCAACCAGTGTGATTAATAGAAAGATTGTGAATTTCCTTGTCCATTTTAATACAAATAGATGGAAAAAATATCTTGAAATAGTGTTAGTTGTTTTTTTTTTTAATTGGACTTTTTTGTTGTCTTATTTCAAAAACTCTGTTCAGCTGAAGTGGAGGACAAGAATAGAGGGTAGAAAGGCAGCAATGTTCTTGCATGTTGGAAAAGTAATATTTAAGTCTGTATTATATGGGGATGTGTGTATCAACTCCAGAGGCTCAGAAGGAATTTTGAGTATGCAAATGTGTAATTTTGGATTTAGCTGAATAGTTGAACCTGTATACTTCTGTATTTGACATACAGAATCATAGAATCATATGAGAAGGTACTGAGATTTTAATTAGTCTGTGTATATTGGCCATAAAAGTGGTCAAATACTGGAACAGGTTTCCCAGCAATGCTGTGGAATGTCCATCCTTCAGGTGGAGCTTGACTGAATGGATACCTGAGCAACCTGATCTCATCAGAGCCGCTTTTAGCAGCGTTTGGCCTAGTGAACTTCAGAGGTCACTTCTAAAGTAATGTTCTATGCTTTTGGTAGTCCAGAAATCTGGTCTGTAACATACTCCTGTTAAATTCAGACCTTAATCAAAACAAGAACGCTTAATTGTGGGTATAGAGTTAGCGTTTGCTCATGCAGCAACTTAAATGGTTTGCAAACAAGAAAAAAGCCTTTCTCCCACCCTGTTTAAAGTTTAAATACAAAGTGGTTTACAAACCTCAAACAAGCAAATAATGAGCCCACTTTATGCTGATGAGTAGAGGGTAAATGTTCATTCTTTTGGGATGTGAAATCCCGCTGTTAAGAAAAAATCAAGGCCATTTCTCTCAAACCTGATGCTTTTTCTTTGCAAGGGTCAATACTAAATCCTGTATTTACTCTCCTGTTAGGGAGGAATGCACTGTGGTTTTTAGCAATTTTGCATGCAGTTAGGACTGGAGGAATGGTACGGCATTTTCCTCACCCATGGGAAGAAGGAGCAATGGTAGTGTTAGTCTTCAATGAAATATGTGAGCCCCCTTGTTGAGATTCCAGGTCCATCAGGGTAGAATATAATTTGTTCTTCACTGTTATATTGAAGAAATATCATGTGAGGTTTTTGCTTGTGTGCTGGTTTCGGGCAGGAACAGGCTGCTCTCCTGCACAGAGCTGGCCAGCCCGCAGTGGCCACAGGATCTTCTTTCATTCCATGAGACATCGGGCACAGTGGTCAGGCTGGGTGCACACGTTGGGAAGGTGCAAAAAGTGGCCCAGCGGTGTGGATTGGTTTTAGGCTTTGGGGTGGATTGGTTTTAGGCTTTTGGGCTAGCAGGTAGCTGTGCTGGTAGCTCCCTTTTGTTAGCTTCTTGGTGGGCTCTTAGAGAAGCAACTTCTTTTGTTAGGCTGGTTGTGGAGTTGGGTTTTTCTTTCTTCCTGCTCTGGGGTTTTTCTCTCCACTCTTGGGCTCGTTTTTTTTTTTTTTCCTCCCCACTTGGAATTTGATTGCTGTTTTGAAATCTGGCTGTGTTGGTCCATGGGTGATGAGATACTGTATTATATGTTCTATTTTCTGTTTCTTTTTTAATTACTTAGTAGTAGTATGGTTAATATCGCTATAAGTTTTATTTATGTAATTAAATAGTTCTTATCTCAACTTCCACAAGCTTCTTTTGAGTGTTTTTTTTCCTCTCTACTGTGGCAGGGGGTTGGTAGGTGATAGAAGGATACAGGGTACTTAATTGCCAGATAAGGCTAAACAAGGACAGTGTGTTAGATGTTTTGGAACTGCTTTATGAAGAGGGAATATGTACTGTTACAGGTGTGAGTTCTCAGCCAGTAGAGTAGTTGCCCATTCAAGTCATGACGGAAGGTAGATCTCACTGATTTTGTCATGCTTGTAACTTTCTAAATGCTTTGAAGTGATTTACAGTGTATAATAACAACTGTTTATTTGTTTATATGTGTAGATAATGGAGAGTTTCTCCACGTTTGGTCAAACTCTGGCTTACAGACAACTACTTTGACAACTAAAACTGATGGCAATGCTGAGCACCTAGAGTATATTGCTTTTGCACTGGTTCCTGTTTTCTTCATCATGGGTCTCTTGGGGATCCTCATCTGTCATGTCCTTAAGAAAAAAGGATATCGCTGTACAACAGAAGCTGAAGAGGTAGAAGAAGAAGAAAAAATTGATGAAAAAATAGGTAAACAAGAAGTTTAATAAATTACTTTTTACTTATTATTACTGTGGAATAATGTATTGAGACCTCTGTCATTTCTCTGTCTGTATTAGACATCAAAACAACATTAAGAAAAATCTTTTTATTACCCTTATGTACTTGTTGGGTTTTGATCTTTGCCAGTGAAAGCTAGGATTCTTCCAGTTTCCTATGTGAATCCTTTAACATCGATTAAGAGCTTACAGGGCGATCAAAGTATCCAGGATATGTTTGTAACAATATACTGCAATTGGATCCCTTTTCTGCATTCCACTTCCTATTAGCAACAAATCAGTATCATACATAATTCTATGAGAGGAGAGACAAAAAGCTGCCATTTAAAGCCTAAAACTTTAGTTTTATGTTTAGCAATCTTAATTTCTTCCAGTTTTGCTGTCATTCTTCTTTCCACCCTCAGTATAAAACTGAACCTTTGGACTGACTGTGGCGCTTATAATATTTTTTCTTAAAGATACCATTGTTTTTGTTCTGATGTTTGGTTTTTTTTGTGCTCTTGTTTTTATGGTTCCTTTTTCCCATATTCTCTTACAAAATAAAACAAAATAACTCAACAAACAAGAGAAGTGTGTTGTCCGTTGGGAGGGACTATAGTAACCCAATATAGCATTTGACTCTATAAATTCAAGGGCCAAATCACTTGTAAATATTTTGGGCCTCTTCCTTTCCCCCAATTAATTGCTGTCAGTAGGTTGATAATGAGTGCAAATCACAGTGGCTCTGTGGTAAGGATAGAGCCGTGTGGTGCAGTAAGGGTGTGTCACTGTGTTTTAAGCAGTTCCTGCCTGGGGCGTGTACGCAGCGAGTGGGACTGGGATCTGTTGGTAACAGCAAGGTGAGCGGTAAGGAAAGGGGGACAACTTCGAGGTCCTAATTTGGAGACATAGCTGTGTCTAAGGTGCACTTCAGAGAGGCAGGTATGAGGACAAAGATGAAGGGTGAGTGAAGGTAGGGGGGAGCCCTGATCTACTAGAGAAAAGTCTGGGGCCTCGCCTATCAAACTTGCACCAATCCTATGATTTTACTTACTTATTTTTAAAACTCATCGTAACAATTATTAGGGAAGGGCAGACCTGTGCCTCTTAATTGTTCTATTCCTCTCCCCAGTCTTTCTCTGCCTTCTGAGGTAATGGGGAAGCTTCCAGTATTGTTAATGGGTACAATTGATTCTGAAAGTATAGTCAGGAGGTTTGTTTCTTCAATCCCTTGCTCATGTACTCATATGAGAATTTTGTTTTTAATTAAAAAAGCCCAAATATTAATTCCTTGTGGTGAAAAGCTTAAATTGAACCCATCTTATACTAGAAACCTATAATTGCTATTCTAAAATAGTGACCGCAGACCGGTTAATGATTTTGTTTGTTTTCCTCCCTATGGTTAGGATTAGAAATACTGCTTTCTTGTTTGCCTCTCTACAAGCTAGAGAGGGAACTTTGCCATACGCTTGTGAAGATATTGAGTTTCTTCAAGTCTTAGATTGTTATGTTAGAGCTGATGTGTAGATTCCAGGAATTTGTGTTTACATTTTTTTCCTGCATAAGGGTTCAAAAGTCTCATCTAAGCTTACTCTCCAAAGTGATAATAGAACTTGTCTGTTTTTTATGTAACTTCTTCTGGTGTGTGTTTTTTGGTTTGTCTTGTTTCTGTTTGTTTGGTTTTAATTTGTTTTAAAATAAATCATATCTTGATTTGGAAGGCTATGATACTGACAACATTTATTTCCTTGCACAGAAATGAATGAAACTATACATGAGAATAGTGACACTGTGGGACAAATTGTTAACTACATTATGAAAAATGAAGGTATGGTATTGTGGTACTGCAGTAATGAGCCTTTGTGATGGAGTTCTGTAACATTCTTCAGCATATTTGAAAAAAACGTATTTTTGTTCATGTAGTTTCATTTAATAACCATTTTGTACGTGCTCAACTCTGAGATTTGCCTTCAGAAGGCAGTAGCTTTAAACAAAACAGGAAAGTTTTTTGCTTACCTGGTAGTTTGTATGGTAGGTTGGGTTCACGCACTGCTTGACATTTTAACTATTTGGTGGTTTGATTTTTTGGGTTCATCTTTTTGTTAGTTTTTGAAATAAAAGCTCTAGGTTGTTTTCTTAATGGTATTGTTTAAAGCATGTGAAATTTTTATGTTTTGACCAGGTTAAACTTTTTGTCTTAACGGTTCTTCCAGCTGTTGGCTGATGAAAGGTTTGTGCCTAACTGGGACAATAGGCTAGGCTAGTATTAATGTAATATTGGACGTGGTGTTTTCATGCACTGTGTGTGCAAAGTAAACGATAAAACCTGAAAAAAAAATCACGCTTAGCCAGCCCATGGAATGCTTGGTTAGTTCAGAACATACTTGCCCAGTAGAAGCAGCATTTAGGAGACTCTGTGATTTTTAAACTGTAAGAACCTTTAGCCTTTTAGTTTTACACTTAGATAAACTGAAGTTCTCCTAAGCAATGAACTTGCTTTGAGTTACTTCTGAATGAAGACTTGTCCTCTGGAAAAGTTGTATGTTTGAGTTGGGTTTGTTGTTTTGTTGTCTTGGGTTTTTTTTTGTTTTCCCTTAACTGTTAGGGCTTTGGGCTTGTGTATTTTGCCTTGAGGGTGGGAATAGGTATCCTGTGTATATGTTAGAATATGTGAGCTATTGGTACTTCTTGGCTGATAATTATTTTGCATTTTGTAAGGCTTCCTTAGACATGTTTTTAATGTTAAATTGCTTTATACGTGTGAGGTAATGATACTTCTGTGGTCACGTGGATGTTTTAAAATACTCAGATGTCTTATTTGGGAATGTTGTGCAGGTGGCTACCTTATACAGCTTGTATTAGGGCAGAGCTTTGAGCACAGTATGAACTATAATTTTAGTATCTAGTGGTAAGGAAATCCTATACACCTATATTAAAGGGTTTTTTTTCAGTTTTCTTACGTGCCTTTTTGGAGATTGACATGGTGCAGTCATCTTTCTTTTAGATTAAATTGCTTTGGGGACCTTTAATTTTGCGGTTTGTTTTTTTTCTAAAGTTAGAGCTGTACATACACTTTTGAAGAATTCTATTTATTCTCGTTGCAGCAAATGCTGATGTGTTAAAGGCCATGGTAGCAGATAGCAGTGTCTTTGAACCTGAAAGGTAATTACTCATCTTATTAATGCATGTTTCCTGAGGCAACTAAAAACTTACCCTTTCAAATGGCTTTATTTCCTGAGCTATCATCTAAGAGGATAATACTTTGATTTCCTTGTGATGTCTCTGAGTCACTAAATTGTAATGTATGCCCTGGGTTAGTAACTAGCTCTTCTGGTTATGTGTTCTAGATGTGCAACACTGATTTACTGCTTTTTGGGCTAAAGATTTACAGAGGCTGCAAATACTTGTTTAATTTCGGGTGAAGTTACTTATAACCTGGCTTAGTCCAAAGCTACTCTGACTTGAAAGAACAGAAGCAGCACTCGTTTCATTTGTATGGACACTAATTTAAAATAGACATCTTTCTGTGTCTCTTTCTGCTTTACTTTTTTCTTTATAATTGTGGTAATAATGTACATTGGCTGACCTACCTCTTTTTTTTTTTTTTTCACTACACATGGATTTAGAGAATTATGTAAAGAAAGTCCAGCCTTGGAGTTGCAGATGCATCATTTGTGTAAAAGTACTTTTATCTGTACATAAGTGTCATGGTTTAACACAACACTTTACTACACTAAATACTCTTCATATGTAATCCTACATATGTAGGATGTACATATGAATGTGTAATGTGTACATATGTAATGTGTTTGTATTCAAGGCATACAAGGTGAAGGTTCGAGTAGGGCTGTGTCACTAATAAAAAAAGAAGTGGGGGTGTATAGTTTTAGCAAAACAAATAGTTGAGTATGCAACTGCTTATCTCCTGTTCTAACGGTGAGGCTTGGTTATTGAACTCCTTTCATAAGTTCAATTTTTTTTTTTCTTCTCAAGTACAGGAATTATTTTTCAACTTCTACAGTGCAGCAGAAATATCTGATTTTTAACTCAATCTTACTGTGTAGGGATGTGTGATGTTGTTATGGGAGGTTTAGACTATTGTTTCAGTGGTTAATTAAAATACAAAAAGAGGAAGGGGAAAATGATTGCTTGCTCTTACATATTTTCTGAGATAATCCTGAAGCTTCATAACTCAAGTGCAAATCCACTATATTTCTTTGTAACTTCGATGCACTATGAAATGCTTCCTAACAATGGGAATAGTAATGGCTAAGTAAAATCTGCACTTCTGCTACATAAACCCATCATCTTCTGTGTTTGCTTAATATGTTGAACAGATTTTTATTTCCCTTACAGCATTCTCTTCTTTATTTGAAAACCATTAAATGTCTCCTGTCCTTACTTTTGTTTTGAAAATAAGCATTCAAGTAACTCCATTCTTTTATGGAATGTTTTACTTCTTTAATTTGTTCTTTCCCTTCTCCTTTGGAGTCTCTTCAGTTTGTTAGTATTTTTCTTGAAATAACATTTCTAAAACTGGATGGAAAGTTCAGCTGGGGCATGACCGATGCTGAGTAATATAACTTTAGGTTCACAGGTTATACTCCCGTCATTTCCACTGCAAAATACGTCCTTTTTAACCAACACCATAGTGTTTTGTGTTCAGCTTGTGATCTTCACCTTCTTTTTCTGAAGAATGATCAGCTGCTAGTTGCTTTTTAACCTGGGTTTGTGAAATTTTTCTGCTAAAGCCCTGAAATTTGTGTTGTCCTCACTGCAATAGATCCAGTATTTTTAATAATATTTATGTGAATGTATTTCCCACACATGTTCTTCCCTGACCATCCTGATTTCTCATCTTCTTCTCTACAGTTACTATGGGGGACCCAAAGTTTATGGGTACTTTAGCTATAATTCTGTTTCATTACCCAAGGATCTATTCAAAACACTGAATATCATCAGGAGCAGAATAACCACATTTAGTATGTCTTTTCATAGTAAGCTACTGATACGTATCTTTCTGATGTCTTCTTTTTTTCTTAACAAGGTGTGCTACCTCACACTACAGTAATCCCATCTTTAATGCACTGAACTCTAGCTTGCTTTAGGAAATTCTGCTGCAGAACAGGGTCAAAACTGATGCTGAAGTCCAAGAAAAGCACATCTGCTTTCTATCTATCTTACCTGCTTTTCCACTGTAGAATAAAAATAGATTGATTTTATTAGATATTCTTAATAAATGCTTTTTGGTGGTTGTACTGCTGTGTCTTTCTTTTAGGTACTTTAAAAAAAGAGGTTTTTCTGAAGCTTAAGCTGAATGGTTTGTTGATTCCTTTTCTCTTCATGGTAGACATTTTATTGCAATATTGTGGGACTGGGCTCTTCTGTGAGTTCTTAAAGATACTGTAACAATTCTGAAATACTTTCTGTAGCTCTACATATGTGAATTTAATCAACTAATTGGATGTCTTCTTCAGTATAAGTACATGTAACCTGTACTTTTCAGTTTTAGCCTGACTTTTTTTTTTTCATTGCCCTTTGTGTTGGTTACCTTAACCACGTGAGTGCAGGTGAATTCATTTATGGAAGTGATTTTAACTGCAAAATACAATATTGGAGGGAATCTTAAACCAGACATACTCACAAATAAACGGTCCCTGAAAAAGCTAACTATTCACTAAACATAACTGAAGGTTATATTTTATCCTTTCTAAGAAACAGGATTTTATATTAAACATCAAATTTTCTTTATACTTTTTCCTACAGCCCTTTATCTCCTACCACTCCTGGGAGTCCAACAAGTCCAGGGTCTCCTTTGTCACCTGGTGCTATTCCGTTTAAGCACAGCTGCAAAGGCCATCACTTCCATACTGTTGGAGGGGTGGTAGAAAAGGATGTTTGTACTCGCTGTAGCCACAAACGATGGCATCTTATAAAACCAGCTCACAAATCTAAAGAGCACAGGAGGAGTCGCCTTGGAGAAGTTACAGTCCTTTCTGTGGGAAGGTAAGACTTAGGGCATTCTATTGTATGCTTAGGGATGCTACAGTGGCTCATGTTGGATGATATCCACTAATTCTACTCTGTTTATAGCATCGGTGGTTGTTTTTTGTAACCCTGTTACTGTTAGGCTGAAGTTATTTCTGGAAGAAGTAAAAATGTGATTAAAAAAAAAAAAGAAAAACTTTAGGCCTATGGAAATAGATGGGGATTTACTGTGGGTATAAATCCAAAGCTGCTGCTCTGTTGATACTGGCTAAAAAGAAGTAAGGGTTGCACACTCATAAATTCCTCTGTTTCTGAATTTAATATTTCTCAAGTAGGTTTTAGCTATAGAAACCACTTTGTTCTGTTCCATCGTTTTTAATTCCTAGCTTAGGTTGTAGTTGTCTTAGAAAATCACTTAGAAAATTCGAAGTAGTAGCATACAATCTGTGGATTCTGCTTTAAAACACAGTTCTCTGGGAAAGCGTGATTCAGCAGTAGTGACTATTAACAGTAGGAAGGAAGATTGCTCTGAGGTGAAGCTAGATCCCTGTGGGTGTCTGCTCTGCCCTCTACGCTTGGAGACCCGAAACTCTGTTCCTGTCCAATACACTGGGTACGATCTAACTCCTTTCTGGGGAAATAAAAGTGAATCTTTCTTTTGCTTACCTCAGGTTTAGAGTCACGAAAGTGGAGCACAAATCGAACTCCAAAGAACGGAAAAGCTTGATGTCTGTTACTGGCATGGAGAGTATCAATGGTGATATGCCTGCCACGCCTGTGAAACAGGAAGGGAGCGAGGCACCTGCCACGCCTGTGAAACAGGAGATGCAAGAGAGGAGAAGCTCAGAGTAAGCTGTGCGGGTATCAAACACTGGGGACTAATATTGAAAGTGGTATGCTGTGAAATAAGTGAAGGTAATTAATAAAGAGAAATGAAGTTGAACATGTATCAGTTCTGTGTAAAAAACCCTAATCTTTCAATTTCAAAAGTTTCTACCCAAGTATGCAGAAATTATATTTGATCACTCAGTTATTGATAAATCGGTAAAGGCAAAATTATCCACCAAATTCTTATCTGATTGTTTATTTAGACTTTGTAATTCGAGTAGATGTTGAAATAAAAAACTATTTTGTGGGGGTGGCATCGCTGGTCCGAGAAATAAACCATCCGCGTGTTAATTTTTTACAAGAAATGAAGGTTCAGCCTTAGTGGCGGTGTGCTTAACTACCCAGAAGATAGGAATGCTGCTGGTAGCTGCATAACTGGAATAACTACAGTGCTTCTTCCTTTTGCTTGCTGCCCTGTACTGTGTGCTTGCATAAGGTGACTGCTTACCAGATACTTCTCTGATTGATCAGTGGAGCTTTGGCTAATAAGAATGGAGGCACATGAAAAGGCTCATACCGCAGGGAGCTATGGTAGGTTACTAAGCCAGGAGGCTGGGTCATTGTGAGTCCTTAAACTTCAGTGAATGGCTTGAGGTACTGCATTAAGCATGTCAAAAACATGTCCAGCATGGTTTTGGAATGCATCCAGTTACTTTATTTTTTTTTAAAACAGTTAAGAATGTTGGAGGGAAAAAAACCCTGGAAGTTAATATGATTTGCTTCAACTGATGATACACTGATTGATAATCTGAAGGGGAAAGGTGATTTTACACAAATGTGTTCAAATACAAATCTTGATCCTTGGGGAGCAGAGGGGCTCTGGGGTGACAAAATAAATGCACTGGATTCGAAGAAAGTGAGCAAAGTGCACAGTGCCAAATTCTCAGTATGCTGAGAGCATAAAGTCATGCTGTGTCAGCTCAGTCCCATTTCAAACTCTCAGTAACTTCCAATATGGGGGAAATGCACAAGTGGAAATTAGATATGTTTAAAAATCTAAGACCCAAACCCTTTCAAGTGTCTTGAGGTTAAATTCTGAAAGGCTGAGGTGCAAGGTGTGGCCCTTTCTTTATATCTGTTGTTTATTCATTAAGAAAACACTCTCTAATTATATCAGCTTAGAAAGGAAGGCAAAGTAGAGAGCTGGTATGCAATGGGATACTTCCTTCCAAACTTTACTGGCAGCACAGGTATGACTGTTGAAATAAGCAGAGTGTATTTGGACTCTGTGCCTCATCATTAAATAGTACCCAATTTTTTGGAACCATTGCCATAGAAGAAGAAAGATTGGGGATGTGGTATGCTTCCAAATGTTTATAAATCTCTAGAGGGTAATGAAATAAACTGTTGGTTTTGCTCAGTGGGTAAGAAGGTAAATAGTCGGCTAATTTGCAAGGAGGTTCAGGTTTCAAAAATTCAGAAGCTGCAGTAAACTGTTGTATCTTTCTTGTGGGGTATTTCTAAGACCAAACTGGAGAAATGCTTGTCAAAGACAGTGTAAATATCACCTGCCTTGGAGGTATGTGATAGACTGTAAGGATGGTTGGTTTTTTTAATTTTGTTTTTTGTTCTCTAGCAAATTTTGGCAAATCATAGCTTTCTAGTGGCTGCTGTCTCGTTGCTGCTCTGTAGTCTGTGAGGGACCCACATATTTCAGTGAGACAAACCTTTATTTTCTGATTCAGAATTCTTACTCCGATTTGCTGGTGTGGTTTCTTTTTCCTTTCTTCTATTTTTAAAAGCCAGTATTAGATAAATGCAATAGGAGACAACCTCTTAATTAACTGGCTGCAGTGGTGTTTTCATGCCCAGCTGTTTTCTTACCCCTGTGACTGTGTTTTTTCTTTTCTGTATCTCAATTGGTATCATGAACAGACTATACATAATACGATTTTTGACTTAAAGACTCATTTTCTTCTCTTTAAACATTAGAAACAGAAAGAAAAGGGGATATATGAAAATTAATTCCAGTGCACTTCGATTTTAAAAAAAAAAGGGGAGGGGGAAGGGGAAGTCTTGAAATCACTCTAAAAATGTGTTTGTTTCTAATTTGTTCTTTCCTTTCCTAAATAAGAAAGCTGTCCCTGTTACCTAAAAGTTATCTAAATTTAAACCATTACTTATTTAATCTAAAAATAAGCTGTTTTCTAGTGAGATAGGATATAACAAATTTTGAATGTCCATCTATGGCAGCTTTTTATTGTAGAACCTTCCTTAGGATTAAAGTCTTGTCCCTTATGAAAACAGATGTTTTAATAGCAGAGAAACAGCTCTGTGCAATCGCTTGTAAAGGTCTCTCCGGTTCAACAGAATTATTTTGTAAATCATCTGGGAAACTAGCCAGGCCTGTTTGTGTACTACAAAACATAAACAGATCTTGCTTGAAGAACTGTAATACTGTTCCCTAACATGGTTCTAGATCAGTTTTTGTCCACTGCCATGCAAAGCTGTTCACATATAAACAGGTGGGATTTAGATCTTAACTTCAATTAGTTAGTTCAGACTTGTAATAAATTATTATAGCTTACTTTACTGAAGCTGAACAGATAAGTGACGTTTAAGACTTCTGTGCCTCCAGCCGATAAACTTATGATAAAAAGCATATAGTTTCATGGAACTTAGCTCAGATCTTCAGATATGGAGGAAGAAGTCAGACACAAATGTGTATTTAACTGCTGCCAGTAAAGGTTTGTTCCGGCATCTGGAGGCAGTTGATGTGTGCTTTGTGGCCTGATTTCAACTGTTGTTACTGAGAGTTCCTGTATGAGATAGAATTCCTGAGTTGGGCAGTACCTGAATGACATAATATTGCTGGTTGCTTGAGTTCACTGCTGCTCTTGAGTTCAGGGGTTTTTTTCCCCCTAAACTGACATGCTCTTAGTACTATCCCGAAGTGACCTCTACAGTGTTTCAGCTTATCCTTGTGTCTTGCTAGCTGCATCACTTGAAGTTGCAGCATGTCTTCGTCATCTGTCCAAGGCCCATGTTCTCAGCAGGCTTCATTTCATCACAGAATCATAGAATGATTTGGGTTGGAAGGGACCTTAAAGACCATCCAGTTCCAACCCCCCTGCCATGGGCAGGGACACCTTCCACTAGACCAGGTTGCTCAGAGCCTCATCCAGCCTGGCCTTGAAGACAGCCAGTTAAGTTTATTTAAAATATGCATAGTGGCACATAGAAAAAGTAGTAGATAGACAGCTGACAGTTGAAGTAAAAATTCTGAGCTGAGCTCTTGCACGTCCATTGCAAGCTATGGGATAAACAAAACCTTAACGTACCGTTGCGCTGAAGCTACATAACATTTTCCATTCCTTTCCTTTAGGATTTCACATGCGAAACTTGCAATGCACGGCAGCCACTTCATGTGATTGTGGCATTTTTTTTCCATTTCAGAGCAACTGCTAACTTTTTAATTGGTGTGTTCACCCTAAAACTCAGGTTGATATTTCGGCGCACTTTTAGAATTGTTTTCTTCTCTTGCAGGTGGAACTTTTAGAAGATGCTTGCCTGCTAGCACTTTGGAGAAACTGAAAACTCCCAAGAGATGCATACTATTTAAAGAAATGTATTTATGGCACTGTAGCATTTTACAAGGTCTGTGGTGGCATCCATGCAAGGTTAAACACTTAATGGTTTTTCACCAGTAAAATCAGTAAGATTGACACGTACTGTTGAGCTACTTGGGCTTCATCTTGGAAAGAAAAAGTACATGTAAGTTTTTGGACAGGAAAGGTAAAAGCCTTATTAAATTTTTTTTTTTTACTTAAAAAGGCATTTTTAGTGAGCTAAATATTATGAGTAATATAATTACCCTGTGGATAAACTGTCTTCACTCTTCTAGTCCATCTGGATTTTTCTCTTCTAGTCTTCTCCTGCAGAATTGAGAAGTGTTTGCTGAAGATAAAAGGCAGCCTCTGGAAGATGAAAATATTCTTTTCATCTAACTGCTAGTAGCCAAGCAAATCATACAAGGAGATAGCTATGTCAGCCAACATCTGCATGTGTGCCTTTTGTACGTAAGCCCTTGGACTCTGTGAAGGGCACTTCACAGCCCAGAGTGGTTCAGCTGTATGCAGATGTTAAATTAAATTGTTCTTTTCCCCCTCTTACCTCCCTCTTAATACTTATCACAGGTTGAAGAGCATCTTTTTCTATGCAGTTGGGTGAGCACTTGAAAATCTTGCTTTCCTCAAGGCCACTTGTTCTCCCATTTTCTTTTAACTACTGACTCGTTTTTGACGGATGCCTTATAGTTTTGCATTTCTCTTTTGTTTTTACTCACAGGTTCCTTATTAAGCTAAGGCAACATATTTCAACTATTAGATAAGGATATGGAATATTTGGCATAAAAAAAAATTGTGGAATATATGCTAAAGTTCTTCAGAGTGGCTTTATTGGACTGAGGGTGGCTGTTTTGATTGGCACCAAAATCTTAAGCCAGTGTCACTCCCTTCATATTTTAAGTGTGACTTACTGCTAAAATTACCAGTGATGGTTTTGTGATGTTAATGCTTTGTGTCTACTGATCTCTACTGTCTGTTACTTGTTTTGGGGAGGGATATCTTTGCAATACTTCAGCAAATTTTGCTGTGTAATAGAAACTGAAAAATAACGCTTGTTCTGAGTGCGTAAGAATGTAAGCTCTAATGCAATGCATTTTAGTAGAGATTGCAGTATATTCTGAGAACTGTAAATTAACTTAAACTGCTTTATGAACAGAGTGGAAATCACTTTGTTTTGGAATTGACTTGTTTTAAATTAATACTTTCAGTCCATTTAATATGAGTGCTCTAAACTGTGTTTCTCCTTCAGATCTGAGAATCAGGTTTCTTCATCAGTTTATGCAGTGTTAACGATCAGTGTGTACAAAGATAAAAATTAATCTTCTTATTAGGTACTCCCATGTCTTGTCAGGAAACATCAAGTTTATTTCATTCTTGCTGAAAGTATGTCCTGCTGAT